GACAGCAAGTAACTCTGAGATGTTCTCCTATCTCTGGGCACAGCAGTGTGTACTGGTACCAACAGGCCCTGGGTCAGGGCCTCCAGTTCATCCTTTCGTATGATGAGGAAGAAGAGAGAGACAGAGGAACCTTCCCTCACAGATTCTCAGGTCACCAGTTCCCTAACTATAGCTCTGAGCTGAATGTGAACGCCTCGGAGGTGGGGGACTCAGCCCTGTATCTCTGTGCCAGCAGCTTGGCACAGCCTGGTAGAGTCACTGACATTCTGTATATAAACTTCCTGCCTTAGCTTTGACTTGAGAGCTGCAGGCCCCACCCAGGTTTCACTCATTAAAGGGAAGCTTTTAGTTGTTTGGAAGGCATGTCTTGTGTCCTACTGAGCGCAGAGCTCTCCCAACCAACAGAGTCTGAGGTTCCTGTGCCCTGAGTGCGCCTGCTTCTCTGCTGCATCTTCTTGCAGCTTGTTATTTACTGGGTAACTTCAGTGGAAGAGTGACTGCTGAGCCCTAGATGTGTGCTAGATTTTTGTATATGTTATATAGATTAAAGGTTTTCCACAATCTTGCAGATCAAACGTTCTTATTCTTTCTTTGCAGATGGGAGGCTCAGGGACATTGAGTCATTTTCGCCAGTGTCTCCGGGCTTATAAGCATCAGAAGTGGGAAACAAACTAGTCCATACATTTTCCACCTACCCCCCTGTTCCATCATCACCTTCTCTGTCCTGGTCAGTAAGTCAGAGCCCTCACACTGCCCTCTAGTGACCAGCAGGGTAGCAGTAGAGTCTCAGATGTCTTCTGGGGTCATTACTATGGCCTCTTCATTAGCAACTTTGAGGAATGTTGCATTTCACACTATTTTTTTAATCATTCATATGCATTCCTTCTGTACTTTCCCAGTCTGTAGCTTATATTTTCATTTTTATGGTGTTTTTTGATGCACAAGAGTTTAATTTAATGCAACAAAAACTAAAAACAATTTTGTTTGTGTGTAGACAAAAACTCCTTTCTCATATAAATGTCTAAACGTATTTTTCTTAATTTGTTTTAGTGAAATTTAAGTTTGGCTTTTCACCACTAAGAATAAATGTACCTGAAATATATTTCATGTAAGAAATAACATAGAGACCTAGGAATGGGAGGGAAGGACATATGTTCAGTGAAGAAGCAACAGCCTGTCAAAAAGATCCCAAAATGGACACCCTGAGCCGACAGTGGAGAGGCAGGTGGAGGACAAATGATCACGAACCTTGTCAGGCTGTTGTCTGTTAGAAGAAAGGCAGCCAGGAGCAGAGACCACATGGGCAAAGGTTTATGGCTGGACTGTAGGTTGAAGGTTGCAGCAGGTAGAGGGAGGAATAGCAGGCAGAGGGCAGAGTCACTGGCTGGCAGGGGCAGTGACATCACCAGTGACTCTACTGACAAACAGGTATTATGTCCCCAACATACAAATTTTAAAAACTCTCACAATCTGTCCCTTTTTCCCTGGCCCTACCATGGCTACCAGACTCCTTAGTGGTGTGGCCTTTTGTTTCCTGGGGGCAGGTGAGTCCCCTAAAGCCTTTTCCTTGGTTCACCATATCCTAGTCTAAGCCTTTACCTCAAGTTTACATTACTGGGGTGCTTCCTTGGGCACGTAACTTCCTTCTCTCATAGACTTCACCGTTGCTGAAATACCTGATGCCAAGATACCAGACAACAAAGGCAGGACACGAAGTGACATGGAGATGCCTGAGACTGCCATCTATGAATACACGTGCAGGTGTTAATAGGAGCCAAAGCTGGTGTACAGCTGATTCGTGCCAGCACACACTACAGAGAAATCCCTTAGTGTCTGTGACTTTCTCTCAAAGCCAAATATGTGGCTTTGGTGTTGGACAGCCTCTCCCAGACCTCTGTGCCCTCCTGTACCAGCCTTCACCCCACAGCCACCTTCTTCTGCACATAGAAGATATAGGTGGACTTGTCTTTATGAGACCGTGATCTGGGCAGTGGAAGACATTGTTCCATAGGCATCTCCCCAACACTTCCCAGGCTGGGGCCCTCAGAGCTCTCAGCAGCTCTGTGCATATGAAACTCTGCCCTGTGCTGAGCTTCTCTCTCAGACCATTCTTAGCTGGACGAAGGAATGCACATCACCATGATGTAAGTAGGTGCAGCTTCTCTTCCAGGCCCCTCCTGCAGCTCTGCCCTCAGAAGTCCTCTTCTTCAGTTGCTCTCAAAAAGGAAAGTTCATTTGAAATTGTATATTTGCAGACAGCATTGACAACACAGGTCTATGTGCGTCCAATCCCACCTTCCATTGGTAACCAGTATTAATACTCTGGTGTGCTTCTTTTCATCTCTCTTTTCTGTGTTCATGCATACCTTTCTACCCAAGTACACCTACAGAAAATGGTTTCACCTGTACACTTTCCCAGTCACATGCATACTCTTTTCTGTTAATATACCTTGGTCTCTATTGTTTCAGATTGGTCAATATAGATCTAACTTGCTCCTATTTGCTGCTTCATATTGCACAATGAGGGTAGACAGGTACATTCATGCTGTATGGTCTGATTCCTAAATTCTGCCAGATCTTCTCTAAAGTGACTGAATGGCCTCTTTAGGCTTCCAGGTTCTCCTTGCCCCAACAACCAGTTGATGATTCCAGCTTTTCCATCACTTTTAGTCCTAGCAGGTTTGAGAGCTCTATCAGTTTCTCCTGCATGAGGATACAGGGAGGGATAAAAGGATAGATATTTATCCAAACCTACCAGAGACTACACAGTATCTCAGTTAATCCTCATAAAGCATGGAGAGGAATGTTAGTCTTGTTTTAGAGATGAGTCTAGATGAGGCTGGAGTCCAGGAAGGTTAATGAATGCCTTGCCCATGGTCTCAGAGTTAATAAATGGTGGAGCCACATGAAGGGCAATCAGCTTGCTTCCAAGAGGAATTCACAGAGGGGTCACTGGAATTTGAGGGAGGGGAAGTCTAGAACCATCTGGGGTTGTCTTCAGATCAGATGCCAGGGGGCAGGAGAGTCCGTGTACCCTGCAGCACTGTAGGTACAAGCATCATGGTGTTGGCAGTGGGGAGGTAACAGAGTGGGTAAGCAGTTAGTGGCCTGGAACCAGAAGATCTGAGCTTTGAGAAAATTATTCCCATCACAAGATGTAGCAGAGACACTGATGTGGATACACTAGGCCAGGGAGCTCTGTGAGGAGCTGTTGTTAACATGAGGGAGCGAGGAGAAGCAACTACGTGGTAACTTCCTATATGTGAAATGTAGAGGAATACAATGTTAAGTGGAATACCATCTGATTTTCGTCAGTTTTGCTTTGTAAGTAGTTGGAAGGTGGGATTATTTATTTTTGAGGTTAAGGAAACATCTATAAGGCTCCTTTACCTTATGAAGGCTGGTGGCAAACGGAAAAATGGCAGGACCAATGGAGTCACAGTTTGTTTAATAAATAACTCAGAGTTCAAAGAGAGACTCTCATGGGCCAGAAATTGGTAAATGTTCCTACATTCTAACATTATGAGGGTCTTATTTTCTTTGAATCAGCAGAGAAGGAAGCACAGGCAGTGGGGAGGGACAGTTGGGAGCACGGCAGAGTGGCCACAGAATGTCAAAGACAAAGGACATGTAATATCAAATTCTAAGCTGTGAAGTTATGATGCTACTCTCCTTCTCCTAATGGTTTTTTTTAAGGTCTCAGCACAGATGAGCACTGAGGGAATAATTTCTTTGAAAATTAAGGACAAAGAGCTCTGTTAAATATTAACAAGTCCACCTTACAAAGCACACCTGGAAATGGAAACAAGATTATTTCTAAGGTGTTTTCTACTCTAAGAGTCTCTAACTTGTTCACAAGGTGAGATGTGAGGAAGGCGGGGTGGTGTTGATCCACACGTGATGAGTACCGTGACGCTCTACCACGAAGCATATAGTTCTGAGTGTGAATCAGAGTCCTAAGAAGAATAATCCCCTTTATGTTGTTTTGCCCTGTTCCATCCCAAACCACCCCACCCGTAATTAAGCAGCCACAGAAATGAGGGGAGCCAGAAGGAATCAAACCCTGCTGCTTGGTTCAGTAGACAGAGAGAGACCTGTGGGAAGGATGTGGCTGGGTTGAGAAGATGATGAGCTCAGACAATAGACAAGGAGAAACACTAGAGGAAAGCTTGTGAAACCCTGGAGGAATCACAAGATATGTTATTTGAGCTCCTTTTTATTTATTAGTAAATATTATTTATTACTAAATTAATGGCAGGAATCCTGCACAGGGATATTCCCTACGAAACATGACATCGCAAATAAAAACAGAGCACTTTTCCTCACCCTAAAGCCTGCCCTCTCTCCCCAATCCCTCATGCATCAGGCCACCTTTGTGCCCACAGATCATGGGCAGCACTGGGTGGTCATCATCGTCCACACAGAGAGGGCAGTCAGCAGCGTGAGGTGGTTCTGCTTGCTGGGGTCTAACCCCAGGCATGGAAAGCAAGAGCCCTGGGTTGACCTGAAGGTGTCAGGAGTCCCATCTATCAGTGAATGGACAAGAAACAGAGCAAAACGACTCCTCCAATGTTGATGAGCCTGCCCCTGGGATTTGGAAACTTGATAACAGAGAAAACTAATATAGACAAAGGATTTTAAACAGGATTAAGGTCAATTAAGCAAATTAGAAAAGGATACTTGAAGGAGTATTTGGGACACAGGAGTCAAAAACACCAGGAAGACATGAGGAGTTTCCCTAAGACTCTAGACTACAGCACTATGTAGATAACTAACACTAGAATGTTAATTATACCATTGAAGAAATAAAACGAACATTGAATTTCAAACTGTTTACAAAAGGTCATGAAAATCTTGGAGACTTGTTTCAATTCAGACAAATGTGTCCTTCTCATTCTCGGCTGTTTACTGGTGCGTTGATTTTGGATTTGACCAACTGGGGAAGAGGCGTGGCCTCTCCTGACAGGAAGGCTCTGGGGCCCAGGCAGGGAGAATGACGTCTCAGAATGACTGCCTTGACAGTCCTGTTCCCCTTTTATCAACACACAGACCCAGAAGACCCCTCCATCCTGCAGCACCTGCCATGAGCATCAGGCTCCTGTGCTGTGCGGCCTTTTCTCTCCTGTGGGCAGGTGGGTCCTGGGCAGGGCCCCTTGCATGGATTTCAAGGCCCAGCACCTTCCCGTTGGGGCTGCAGCATCAGCTTTGTCCTTCTCTGCAGGTCTAGTGAATGCTGGTGTCACTCAGACCCCAAAATTCCAAGTCCTGAAGACAGGACAGAGCATGACACAGCAGTGTGCCCAGGATATGAACCATGACTCCAATTACTGGTATCGACAAGACCCAGGCATGGGGCTGAGGCTGATTCGTTACTCAGTTGCTGCTGGTGTCACTGACAAGGGAGAAGTCCCCAGTGGCTACAATGTCTCCAGATTAAACACAGAGGATTTCCCGCTCAGGCTGGAGTCAGCTGCTCCCTCCCAGACATCTGTGTACTTCTGTGCCAGCAGTTACTCCCCAACGCTGCAAGGCCATCTCCTCTCTGCACATAAAAGCAGGGCGGCTCTGCCCTCCTCCCCCACCCAAAACTCAGGGATGACCTGGGCAAAATTTTCTGCACCAGGAACCTTGGAACCCCAAGTGGCCCAGACAGCATGAGCTCGCTCTGTGCCAGGTGCCTCTGCAGGCAGTCTCAGCCAGGCCTGGACTGGTCCCAGGTCCTCAGATGTCTCCTTTGTTGCTCTCTCTGATCTTTCCTCAGAGCTATGATTTTGGGTTGGGACCGGGGCTTCCCCAGCTCCTACTTTTGTACTCATCATCCTGAGTCTGAGGCCCCCAGGATGAAACAGCATTTATATTTCAGATCCAGCTAGACTCCTGTCTCTCCCTGGTGAGCGTGTTGCTTCCTGTCTCTAGGGTTTCTCCCAGCCCCCACCCTCACGTGGTCTCTCCTGTAACCCACCTTTCCTATCTGGGCAGTCATCCTCCACGGCCCTGCTGGATTTTTCCTCCCCCCACCTCCTTGCCCCTCTCTACTGCAGCCATGAGGGGAACCCCTCTTCTGTGCCTCCTTCCTTCCAATCACAGAGTCTTCATTGGCCATTTCCTCTGCCCTGGGCTGGAACCTTCCTTCCTCTAGTGGCCAGCTCCTACCTGTGCTTCAGATCTCAGCATGATCAGCCCTCCTGCGGGAAGCACTCCCTCCCCTCCCAGCTGAGATCAACTTTCCTCTCCTAAGCTCTCATAGAATCATATATCTGTTACTAACCTTTAGCACCGTTGGGCTTTCTCAGATACTTGTCTGATTATTTTTGTGCTCCACCCATTTTTAAAATTTTCTTTTGATTTCTTTCCTTTCTTTCTTTTCATTTTTTCTTTTACTTTTCTTTTCTTTTCTTTCTTTTTCTTTTCTTTTCTTTTTTTCTTTTTTCTTTTTTTTTTGAGACAGAGTCTCGCTCTTTTGCCAGGCTAGAGTGCAGTGGTGTGCTCAGCTCACTGCAACCTCCGACTCTCTGGTTCAAGCAATTCTGCCTCAGCCTCCCGAGTAGCTGGGATTACAGGCACGCACCACCAGAATCAGCTAATTCTTGTTTGTATCTTTAGTAGAGACGAGGTTTCACCATGTTGGCCAGGATGGTGTCAATCTCTGGGCCTCATGATCTGCCCATCTCAGCCTCCTAAAGTGCTGGGATATAGGCATGAGCCACCACGCCTGGCCTCTCCACCCAATTTTTAAGCCCATGAGAGCTAAAGCGGTGCTTGCTGCATTTACCAACATCGGTGCCTGGCATGTGGGGAGACCCATTTCACAGAGAATGGATGAGTGAATGACAGGGTGAGTGAGTGATGAGTGGGTGGACGAACCAATAGCAGGAACATGCTACATCTACTGTAACCTGGCAGAGATCTAGCATTAAGTACAAGAAAACCCACCCCTTTGACTGCTGGCCAAGGTTGGTCTTGGAAATTGATGGGGAATCACCATCATGGTGGCCTCACCTGGGTCAAGGCTTCCTCTTGTGGTTGTAGCACAAGACCCCACAACAAATCGAGACGGATCAGAGATCCACTTCTAGAATACCATCCTTAAAGGTTGTTCCTCGAAACCACTTCTTGTAAGAAAATCTCCATTAGGTTTACATCAATAAAACAGGGCCACTACAAATTGGACAGTTTAATGTATTTATGATCAGAATTAGACTTTATGCATATGTGGGAGGAGCTGAGGAAGAGAAGGTCTGAAGGAGAGAAGTCAGAAGGTGAGGGAGCCAGTCAGCAGCCAGGGCTCCTGGAGCTCTGGACAGGACAGGCTGGAGGGTCAGGGACATGGGGGGATCAGAGCATGCCAGGCCATGAAGTGGGACCTTGAGCTGGGAGGACAGGAAAAGTCCAAGGAAATCTGTTTCTGGGGAAGCTGTTTCCTCTGTGTGGGGCCCACCCCTGCAGGTTTACTGCCAAACACTGGGGGCAGCCTGGCTGCTCTTGGTCAGCATTTGGGAAGATGAACTGGACACAGGGTGCAGAAGGAATAGGACTTCCTAGGTCTGTTGGATGCCTCTGTGTTTGCTGGTCACTGACTCTCACTCTGTAATACAATGACCCGGCCAAGTATAATAGTGCCTGTTTTTACATCTATGTAAAAATTTTTACCAAATGTCTTTGACCATCTCTAACCCAGAGTAAGAGAAATGGCATTCTTGTCTTGCCTTTGCAAAGTTGATTTAACACAATCCAGCACAGGAGGATTCTCTCCCAGATTAAAGCATCAAATCACACAGCTGTTTCAACCTTCCACAGTCCCAGACTCCTCTCTGAGACATGTGTGCTACTTGAGTGAATGTGGACACAATTTGTATGTAGATGTTCCAGACACTGGCTACTAACTTTTTTTTAATACTGTCTCCCTCCACCTAGAGGCAGGGTTCTGCCTCTTCTTTCCATCTCTTTCTGAGCTTCCCTCCTGATGGAATTGCATGGACATCACACCTCTGGTCAGAGTGCAGTGATCTGTGGAGACAGTGGGAGGGAATCTCACGTCTTGTTGCCTTCCTGGACCCAGTTCTTTTTTTATAAGCAAGCAAGTGCTCTGTACAGATCTCCCTTTAGCTCTACAGTATAAGAAATGTCATGAATTTGCAGCTTAGTCAGCTCAATGATTTTGATAGCAAACCCAAAGTGAAATCCTCAGATCTGCAGAGGTGCCTGCATTTCTGTGAAGATGGAAAAAAGAATACTGTGTAGTAGAGATGCCTTCTCTCCATGTAGAGACCTGGCCCCAAACAGGACAGAGCAGAGAGGCAAAAGAGCCCAAAACATGTCTCAGATGGTTGAAAGATGATTTCCAGACAATCCTGCTGACAACATTTGGTCCATATGTTGATCCCGACCACCTTCCCCCAGATCAGCTGAGTCCCAGGATATCACACATCCCAGCATCTTCCAACAAGGAAAAATCTTCACATGCCAGCCTCCTTCCAGCACCACATTGACCAAGCCTGGAAACTTAGCCTTTCCAGAAAAAAGCTCTGTCTTCTCCCGGCCCAGTCTAGCCCAGCAGGCACCAATTCATGATTTATGTCACCTTTTTAATTTACTCAGAGAAGAACATATGATTTCAGAGTAAAGAATATTCATTTTCTTTATAAGTTGGACCTAAGCGGTAAACTGAGTACTTTTCTTCCATCAGTGTCTTAAATCGGACAATGGTAAAAGAAATCTTTGATGCCAGAACTTTTAGGCCTAGTATTTTTTCATATTGATGTTGCCCAGTGTCCTGGGCGCAGAATAGATGGGCGTTAGTAAGTCACACTATGCCTGAGATGGTTTTCTATGGGTTTATAGACTAGTATTCTCCTGTTGAGCAAGCATAAGAGCATTTACTTCTTCAAGCTCATTTGTCAGTTTGTATAGAATTTCCAATTTGGAAATAAGTTATGCTTTTAAATTTGGAGATCAGGCCAGGTACAGTGGCTCATGCCTATAATCCCAGCACTTTGGGAGGCCGAGGCAGGCTGATCACAAGGTCAGTAGTTCGAGACCAGCCTGGCCAATAGGGTGAAACCCTGTCTCTACTAAAAATACAAAAAGATTAGCCAGGCGTGGTGGTGAGCGCCTGTAGTCAACTTCTTCAGAGCTAAGCCAGGAGAATCACTTGAACCTGAGGGTGGAGGTGGCAGTGAGCCCAAGATGATGCCACTGCACTGCAACCTGGGCAACATAGCAAGACTCTGACTAAAAAAAAATAGTGTCAAGTCTACAAATATAATATAATTCTGATATCCATGTTATTTTTAGAAGTTTTGGGTTTCAGAAAAAAAAGGAAAGAAGAAGGAATATCCATAGGTTTGGCCGATTTTATAATAAATATATATGTGTGTATATATGTATATACACACAAATTCACTCTAAATGTACACACACAGAGATGCATATATATGTGTATATATATACTCATACATATATGTACATATAAATATATGTAATTTCCCCCATGGAAGAAAATGTCATGACTACATGGCTTAATGGGATTTATTTATAAAGAGTTTTCTAAAAAGAATTAGAAAATTTGAATTCTGTTTGAATCTTTCATTAGGACTGTCCAGGAAACATTTTTGGCTGCTGCCACCAGCTTATGTTGTGGGTGTATTTGGCAGCCGGAGTGCAGCAGACAGTTCTTTGGCCCCATGCATTTGGGTTAGACTGGAGATGTAACCATGACAGACTCTTTATTGTTGTTCACTCTCAGTCCGAGCCTCTCTGGAATGTCACAGACCACCATCAAACAAATATATTCCCAACGTGAAGAATATTAGGAGATAGCCATGAGGAAAAGTCAACACCAACAAACAATTTTGAAGTGCAAACCGGCAAGAAATTTTGGCAAATGAATTTTGGCAAATTTTGAGATATGAAAGTTTGAAGAGCTACATTTAAATGAACACGAGGGGAAACTGAAACAAGGAAAAAGAGAATGTATGAAACCATCAAGTAACTTTCATAAAAATTGTCAAATAATATATAAATGCCTCATACAGTCACTGAAAAAATGGAAAGTCAAACAGTTGATCAGCTCCTCCTAAAGAGATTTTTAGTGATGTCAAAGATGGATCTGCAGGAGTGATCTAGAATGCAGCACAGAAAATTAAAAGTGAAATGCAAAGACGTTAAGAACAAGGAAAAAAATGCAGATATTTCCCATACCTTATAGTATGCATATTTTCATAATTTCCATTTTTTTCTTGCATATGATTGCAGTTCAAACAGAACTGGTAGAAGGTAGAAAAATGGGTAGAAGAAAGTTATGGGGGTGTCTTATGAGATGTTAGCTGACAATTCTTTAGAGGTGTTTAAGGAGACCAAATTCAGGGTTCCAGAATCAAATGAATCTCCCAAAGTAAAGACAAATAGTCAAATTTTAAGAAATTGCCAGAACCTGAGAGGACAAATAGAAGATTTTGAAAGCAGTCAGAAAGAAGAAATACCTCCCATAGGAATAGATGAAGCGAAAAGTAGAGCAAGATAGTGGTTAAAAATAACCATTAGCTCAATTGTCATTCTCCTTCTTTTAAGGTGACATTGATTAAAAACAACTTTTATAAGTGGAATATGAAAAAAAGACGGCTGTGGTTTCCACCCAAGTATCTTTTCTGAATGACAGTTAACAAAGGTGGGAAATGATCCCAGAAGAAAGGCATGAGGGCCGTTCATTGAGGAACCCATGCGATGGAACAGTCCTATTGGGCCGTGTGACTGGGGGAATGGAGAAGTCTGGGGCATGAAAGGGGATGGCAGAGGACCTGACTTGGAGAAGACGTGACTGCCTTGTGCCCTATCATTAGGGGCAGTGTTTTCCTCTATATAGGACATATCCAGACGGAAAAGAGCAGCTGTAGGATGAGAAGATGAACTCAGAGATGCAGCGTGAGGCCTCCAGGTCAGGCAGCTCTGGAGCCCAAAGTGATGAGCCATGCATTGATGTTAAAAAGGAGGTTATAAATATTTAAAGCGTCACCCAAGTGTGTTCTAATATAAATGTTGTGACCCTGAGGTCCTGGGGATTGAGAGAGGAAGTGATGTCACTGTGGGAACTGCCCTGTGGGGACAAGGGCGTCAAGTCATCTCTGCTCCTGCTCACAGTGACACTGATCAGTAACGCCCCGTCTGGCCTGACCCTGCCATGGGCACCAGGCTCCTCTGCTGGGTGGTCCTGGGTTTCCTAGGGACAGGTGAGCTAGGGACAGGTGAGTCCTCAGAACACCAAGTAGTTTCATTTTTTTTCTGTGTGTAGGTGTGTGTGTGCGTGTGTGTGTGTGACGACTACAAATGTTTTCCTTATTCTGTTGCCAAATTCTACTTCCACAGATCACACAGGTGCTGGAGTCTTGCAGTCCCCAAGGTACAGAGTCATGAAGAGGGGACAGGATGTAGCTCTCAGGTGTGATCCAATTTCAGGTCATGATTACCTTTACTGGTACCAACAGGCCCTGGGGCAGGGCCCAGAGCTTCTGACTTACTTCAGTTATGAAGCTCAACAAGACAAATCAGGGCTGCCCAGTGATCGCTTCTCTGCAGAGAGGCCTGAGGGATCCGTCTCTACTCTGAAGATCCAGCGCACACAGCAGGGGGACTCGGCCGTGTATCTCTGTGCCAGCAGCTTAGCCACAGCGTGGCACAGTCGCCTCCTTCCTGTTCACAAACCTCGTCCTTCTCTCTCCTTGCAGCTTCTAGGGACCCTTAGTAGAGGCCTCTCTTTCATCCTCATTTTTCATGGGAAAGGAGTAGATTTGGACATCGGCTGTCCATTAGGTAGAAAGAGACCACAGATTCATTCCTGAAACACAGTGACCGCAAATGTAGGTGGTGAAATCACGGCCCACAGCACTCTAGGAGTCCTCGGAACCAGCTCACTTCTTCAAGCAAGGAGTGGGTGTCTTAGCCTCGGCCTTCAGGGCAGACATGCATCTTCAATAGGTCTCGGAGGCTGCGGTGCTGTCCACATCCGTGAGGTTGTCAAAAGCAGGAAACATGCTTTCCTCATGCATATGTTGAGGCATCTGGAAGGTCTGAGGCTACATCCCCAGGAACATCTTTCTTCCGAAGCTCTTCTATCCCTGTCACCTTGGAAGTTTTCTGCCACAAAATATCAAACATCTCTTCCTGTTTGAAGTAAAGATCTTTACAAATTTTTAGTCCTTACTTGATAAATACAATCATGATAACAATAAGACTTCGTTTCTTCTGCCTACTTTAAGCCATGTGTATCTTTTATTTTGTTTCCATTTGCCATTGCTGCTGTCCTGATAGACAGAAGCATGCATTCGCCACTGCTGCTGGTTCACCTTGATTCACTCAGGAAATCTGATTTCTAGACTCTGAGTGTTTTCATTGCTGTCCAATGCATTTGATTTGAAATAAATTTTCTGAGGACTTTAACTCAGTAAGTGTTTTATTTTAATACTGATTCTATTTCTTGTTAGTTTATTTCTCATATTATGTATTGTTATATAGTACTTATTATAAATAGAAGTACAAGGATTATATTTTAATAGAATCTTCTACTTGTCTGTGGGTGATGCTGCAGTTTGTATCTATGAAAGTGAATGCACTGGTCAGAGCTGCTGTGATCGTGGATCATGAGTTTCTGAGAGTCCTCGGCGACAGACCAGTTCTCTAAATCTGGGATTCAGTGTCCCAGACACAGCCATGTTAGAGGTGCCCTGAGTCTTCCATAGCTATGAGGGGCATCACAGCCTTTCCAAATTCACTGATCAGAAATTGTGGTGGTAAAGACCCCAAATTTCTTTCCCCAGAGAATGATAGTCTCTGGTAGGGAGATGCTCTGGACCCAGTTTTTATTGTGTGTTATCATCAAATCGCTCCTTGCTCAGGTGCCCCGTGTCTCCTGGGACTGAGTAAGGCCAGGGCACAGATGGGAATGCCCTGTCTTCCTAGACTTTCTTTGCAATGGCTGCCGTCTTCCTCCACATGACTCCTGAGACACCTGGTCCTAACAGCGGGCAAGCTCTGACACTGAGGCTGAACAGAACACCGTCCACAGTTGTAAACGGTGCTGCAAGGACATGTAACAAAAGCGAGCAGGGCTTCCAATTTATACTGAGAATGAACATGCAAGAGGAGCAAAGGGCAGATGTTACTAATGAACAAATAGGAAGGAATAGGGATTCTACTCAATGAAATCATTCTGTATTCTTAATTTAAGCAGGAGAAACATTTCTTTACAATTACTTCAAGTCAAAGACTAGCAGCTTTCCAACCATAATTATTTGCATCATTATTTGCTCTGTGATCTCTGCAGCTTCAGAGGACTCGGAAATTTTCTCTCTGAACAAACATCCCTTTCTCCACTCTAAGACCCAGGATCACACACTCTGATCTTATCATGAAAAATAATGAGGTTTGCTATAGTTGCTGTGGCCTCATTTTCAGTGTGTTGAGTAGGAAGCATTGAAGAACTTTGAAAGCTTTGCTCTTGAGTCTAAGGATATGCTGGAGCCAGCTTGTATGACTCAGAAGCAGTAAATAGGCGTACTCTTCCCAGTAAATAGGCATACTCTTCCCAGCTCCCCTTTCAGTGAAGCCATGTTGGCTGCTTGAAATCTGCCATGGTGGGGATGCTGGTACAACAGAAATTAGCAAATGCTACCAGCCATGTCCCCACCTTCGCAGACACCCAGTTTAGCAGCACATCACCGGAGTATTTTCTGATGTCCCTGTTATGCCATGTCTTGTGGGGACAAAAGGGCTCAGAATTCACCTCCCCTCTACTCTTGCTCCTAGAAGCCATTATCTAAGGTGGCCTCAATTGTTCCTATTTCTATTCAACCTCCAAATTATCTTGCTCTGTAGGTCTGTGTCTCCTACAAGCATGCCAGTCTCAAACATGACAACTATTTTGAATATCCCTGAAGGGATCACTGAACTAGTGCATTATTTACAAATTATCTTTCCTGCATGGAATACTCAGATGCTGGAGTCATTGGCAACAGAGATGGCCAAGCAGCAAGATTGTGAATCACTTACGGCCCTGCTATTCTTCTGTGGCTCCCACAGACCCTGAAACAGGGACTATTTTTCTTAGGAAACTAAGCAGCTTACCAGTCATAGCTAAGTAGCTCCACACCAGTTAGGAATGACTCTGCTTTTACTTTAGGCTGAGAGGTCAGAAGGGTCACACCCCAAGTATTCTCCTCTCCAAGATGAAGTATGGCCACTCTCCATCTCAGTCCCTGGGAGTTGTCCAGAGTCGCCTGAGAATCCCTGCTCTGGAGGCGGAATCACCAGGACTCATCCTGGCCAGCTCCCCACAGTCTGTAGCAGGGCTTTCCTGCCAGGTGCCGGGCACAGGAATCGTTCTCCCTGTCTCTTAGGTAGAGCGAGGCCATACAATGATGTTTGGATAAAGGGGACTGGAATTCTGGGTCTCCATTAAAGTTTTTTTTTTTTTTTTTTTTTTTTTTTTTTTTTTTTTTTTTTTTTTGCCATCTCACCAATGAGGAGTGCAATCGCTTGGTTTATTGTTTTTGGCACTTGGGAAGGTTTACGTGGTTAAGCCACCTTAAGAAATTGTGTCTTAGGCGCCGGGCAGTGGTCTGCTGGGCTCGGCATGCTGAGGTAGAGGCAGCGCCAAGAAGAGGCCTTTGCCGCTGGTAGGGATTGGGATGTGGGAGAACACAGTGTCGTCGGCCGGTTCCGGAAGGTGGACGTGGATGAATATGACGAGAACAAGCTCGTGGACGAAGAAGATGGGGGCGACGGCCAGGCCGGGCCCGACGAGGGCGAGGTGGACTCCTGCCTGCGGCAAGGAAATATGACAGCTGCCCTACAGGCAGCTCTGAAGAACCCCCTTATCAACACCAAGAGTCAGGCAGTGAAGGACCGGGCAGGCAGCATTGTGTTGAAGGTGCTCATCTCTTTTAAAGCTAATGATATTGAAAAGACAGTTCAATCTCCGGACAAGAATGGTGCGAATCTCCTAATGAAGTGTATTTATGAAGGATTTGGGAGCCCCTCTGACAGTAGCAGTGCTGTGTTACTGCAGTGGTATGGAAAGTCACTTGCTGCTGGAGGAGTAGGGTCCATTGTTCGTGTCTTGACTGCAAGAAAAACCGTGTAGATTGGCAGGAAGTGGAAATCTGCCTCGGGAGTGGGAATTGCTGGTACTAAGACCAAAACAACCAAATGCCACCGCTGCCCTGTGGGTAGCATCTGTTTCTCTCAGCTTTGCCTTCTTGCTTTTTCATATCGGTAAAGAAGAAACCTCCACATCACTTTTCCTTGAATGAAAATTGGGATAATATAGAAGAAATTGTGTTAAAATATAAATGTTTCATCCTTTCAAAATCATTTCAGTGATGTTTATACCAGTCTGTATATAGTATAATTAACATTCAAGTTTAATTGTGCAATTTTTAACCCCTGTTGGCTGGTTTTTTGTTTTGTTTTGTGTTATTTTTACCTAATACTGAGAGATTTGGTCAGAATTTGAGGCCAGTTTCCTAGCTCACTGCTAGTCGGGAAATGATATTTATAAGAAATATGAGAGACTGGCAGCTATTAACATTGCAAAACTGGACCATATTTCCCTTATTTAAGCCAAATATGTTTTTGGAGTAAGTGGTGGGTGCATACCGCTACCGAGTTCTAGCTTTGTTTTTGCTTGCCTCCTGATTATCTGTACTGTGGGTTTAAGTGTGCTACTTTCTCTCAGCATCCAATAATCATGGCCTCTCAATTTATTTGTGGTCGCCCAGGGTTCAGAACAAGAAGTCTTGCTCTATACAAGTGTATCCATAAAATATCAGAGCTTGTTGGGCATGAACATCAAACTTTTGTTCCAATAATATGGCTCTGTTTGGAAAAAACTGCAAATCAGAAAGAGTGATTTGCAGAAAGAAAGAAAAACTATGGTGTAATTCAAACTCTGGGCAGCCTCTGAATGAAATACTACTTTCTTTAGAAATATAATAGCTGCCTTAGACATGATGAGGTATACAACTAGCATTTAAGATACTATTTAATATGCCCTATAAATGTCTTCTGTGTTCTTCAGGGTAATTAGGATCTCAGAAGATTTGGTTCAGATCCAAACAAATACACATTCTGTGTTTTAGCTCAGTGTTTTTTTAAAAAAGAAACTGCCACACAGCAAACAATTATTTACTTTGTTGGACAAACCAAATCAGTTCTCAAAAAATGACCGGTGCTTATAAAAAGTTATAAATATCCAGTAGTTCCAGAACAAGCCACCTGACCAAGAGGGAAGTCAGCTAGTGATTAGTATTTACATTGGATACCAGTTTTGTAATCACTGACTTATGTGCAAAATGGTGCAGAAATTCTATAAACTCTTTGCTGATTTTGATACCTGGTTTTTGTTTCATTTTGTTTTGTTTTGTAAAAATGATAAAACTTCAGAAAATAAAAAAAAAGAAAGAAATTGTGCCTTTTTTCCTGTTCAGATATAATCCAAGGCAGTGAAAGAAACAGCAATAATTTTGAAAGCAGTCACTTATGCATCCCATGATAAAGGTGTTAAGTTTCATTGACCATATCCTACTTTCAGTCTAGTGGAAATGAAAAGGCATAGTTAGGGGGCATGTGAGCATGCCATGAGAGGTCAATGCCAATTGAGAAGTCTGTGCCAATCCCCAGTACTGTGGGATTGAAGGGGAGGGAGAGATGACCACTCTTTCAGACCGTGCTCAACAAGGAGGGAGAGGGAGTTCATCCATGGGAAGCTGAGGAGGAGCAAATCCCAGGGGCATCTAACTCAGGGTGCAGGAGCAAATTCTTAGAGAGGAAAATGGTCCAGTTCTGCTGTCACAGGAGACAGGAGAAAGAAAAGTCATGTACTCCACAGTTTCCTGGCTGAT